TTAAATGATCAAGGGTTAACGACAAAACTAAATTTCAGTTTGAAATAACCGAGATAAATTTCTTTCCAAGGGCAGGTACTGTGTTGTGCGATTAGGTAAGCCATTTTACGCTTTCTTGGCTGCAGTGAAAACTTCAATGAAAAAATTAATCACACGATAATGAATCATAAAATAATTTTGATTTGTTTGAGAAAAAATCAATTTGGAAGAATCAAAAAGTTAAGAGAATGTAGATTTCTTTAGTATAATGACCGTTAGGTTATCAGTTATCAAAGATATTTGATTATAATGATGCGATAAGTCCCCAAATATCAGTAATTAGAGCACGTTATTCAGTATTGAATTGAAAATAAATTGGAAAAAGTTTTACAATGCTCTTTTCTCCAACTGCATAGTATGTCAGCGGAATTGAGAACAGATAAAAAATAAATCTGACGTCAACGGGTTTCAAATCAAATTCGGAGAATATTCCTTTCTGTTTACGATGAAGAAATAACGATAGTACTGATAGTAGTAATTCTAGGGATAGCCTGCGAATGATGAATAATTATACTGAAATATTAACAAGAATCATACCTTTTTAAGGACATTAATTTCAAGTTTTATCTCCTCTTCTTCATCCTGAAAGTTTAATCAAGTAATTTATTACATAACGTAGTAGAACAACCTATGTTACATGAATCATATTAGATTCATGGAAGTAAGTCACTTTCTACATAAACATTAAACTCGTCATAAATATTAATGACGTTGGTGACCAGGACAATCTCACATAGAACACTTACTTCCGTGACGTCCATAACTTTGATGGCAGCCAGCTGTCCAGTTTTGGTGTGTCTTCCCTGAAAACAAAAATCATCGTTACCAAGAGGAAGTGGAAATACCAACATTAGAGGCTAAAATAATGAGATGAGTCATAAAGGAAGAGCAGATTCTATCAAATATGAAACGGTATATTGTAACGTGAGAAGTGGTAAAAACAGATTTGTAGGGTTTAGAATGATTTCCGCTATCGAATGCCACGATAGAATGCCAATGCATGTAAGCAACAAAGCTGAATACAAACCTTGTATACTTGTCCATAGGTTCCATTACCGACAACTTCAATCAACTCGAAAATTCCAGCCGGATCCTGGGTAGAGAAAAGATACATATTAAAACGTGGTGACACAAAACGATTATATCAAAGCATAGGAATGAAACGGGGAGAGTAGATTTGAATTTAGAGACAAACGAGGTAGATTTGATGACGATCGCAGTGGTTCAGATACAGAAGGAAAAATTAAGAGTACTTTCGATTGAATGAGATCGCAGGGTTTGTAGAAAAACGAAAGTCATGTTAGAAACTAATCCAGGACTATGGGTCAAATTAATCCGAATACCAACAGGGAGTATGGAGAATAGAGTAGCTTCGAAGATGCACCTTGAATATGAGATCTAAAAATAACTTACTTTCAGAGCATTCAAATCGATGTCGTCGAGTGAAGTGAGCATTGTATTATGCGCCATTGGAAAATTGTATGAAGATAATTCGGAAGGGAAACGCGTAAGTTCAGAATATTGATGACTACATCTTTGTGACAAAATTTATCACGAACGTTGGGACGAGATATGAATCATTCATTTATATAAACGTGTGAAAGAGTACAACTATTAAGTAGATCTCACTGAATGAAAGAACTAATTAAAAATATATACAAATTACATTGTTACTATTAATTTAATGAATCCATGATCGCTGTAAAGGTTAATAATCTAATCACAGTAATTATTATTCATATTCATCGTACTCATCACATCACACACACAGAGAACCGAAGTCAGAAGTTCAGAACCACACCAAAACAAAAGTCCACACGCATAGGGAAATAGACCGATTTTGCATGACGTCACAACCAAAATTCTGGCTAAACAGTGTTGCATTTGAACGTAGAATATCTCTGTCTTCTCCTGTTAATCGATAACCTGACACAAACCTAAAGAGCAAAAATTTCCATTAGACTCGATTCGGAAAAACCTAGCTAACAAGGGAAGGCCGCGAAGTGTTTGATCGATCTGGGCAAACTGTTGCTGTAGTTGGGTAGACCCCCACCCCAAAACATCATTTTGACCAATCTTACGTGCTGTGAACCTCTTTATAATTTTTTTTCCCAACAGGGGTGGGCAAAATCAGCAAAATTGGAAAAATTGAAAAAAATTTTCTTTTCAATTTTCGGCAATTTTTTTTATGGAATATGTTGAGGACCATCATAAAAGTACGTGATAAAAAAATCAGCTTGGTCGAGCTCATAGAAGTTGGTGAGGAGGAGTTTTTAGTTTTGAAATAGCCTAATTTCAAATTCTAGGCTATTTCAAACCTAAAAACTCCTCCTCCCTAACTTCTATGAGCTCGACCGAGCTGATTTTTTTATCATGTACTTCTATGATGGTCCTGAACATATTCCATTAAAAAAAATTGCCAAAAATCAGAAAAATTTTTTTCAAAATTTTCCAAATTTGCCCATCCCTGCTAAATAAAAAATCATAAAGGGGTTCACAGCACGTAAGATTGGTCAAAATGATGTTTTGGGGTGGAGGTCTATCCAACTATAGCAAAGGTTTGCCCAGATCGATCAAACACTTCGCGGCCTTCCCTTGTAATGGTGAGAACCATTTTTTCAGTGTAGCCGAACGAAGAAATATTTCAAAAAAATTCCCGATTTTCTATTCCATTTCCTCATCACAAAATCCAGTGCTTACAAAAAATTGGATG